AAATGAAGAAAGGTTTGAAGTAAATAATAGTTTTAATGTAAATCTTATACCTACTTTTAATATTTTAGGGCAGCATTCACTGAACTCTATACCGTTACAACAGTTACAGTTCAGTGGAGTTAAAAAGTATCCTTCCTTGGCACTGGTAAGCATGTTTGGGGAAATTTGTAAGCAATCTAGTGATTATCCATTGGCAACACTGGCTTGTCTGAGCGTCAGGCGTCAGCTGTCACCTGTAACTGCTTTCGCCATCTTGATTTTTTAGAATCCATTCTAAAAACAAATTACAAAAAACGAGCAGAAGAATTTGAAACCGACACACCTTTACCATAATGTTGAAATTAAACAAGAAATCATGAAATCATCGAATGTAAAGAGCCTAAAATTGAATAACGTTCGGATTTGTTTCTAAAAATTGACTGATTTGATACCCGAAAAAATTGTGTCCTACAAATATTAAAATAGTACTCGAGAACACAAGTGAAAACGAGGGATATAAAGGAAGACAGAATATGTTCATTTAAAAGTTGAACTTTTGACTATGCATTGTGATATAGCGACTTTGAAAAATAAAAAGACTGACTATTCAGATTGTTTGACAGAGTAGTGCGAAAGGGAATAAGATGAAAGGATATTTTAAATAACTCAATTGGTTTGAATATGAAAAGGAGAAGGAAGCCAAACCAAACAAAAATGTAAGTGTCCATTAAATTATTATCAAAGTTGAATAAATTTTTCAGTTATTTATTACACTTTTTGGTACTTTTGGTTCTTTTATGTGCATGTCTGGAAGTTGAAAAGCTAACTTTCACATTTTCGCACTTATATTCTCTGTTACTGTCACTGTTTGCTGTTGCATATTCAAAGTTTCAAGTTCAATGGCGACTGTAACGTCACACAAACGGTAAGGGCAACGGAAACTTCAAGTTTATAAACCGGAATTTAAGGTCTTTATTAAAGATAGTGCCTGTCCTTTATTGTGGATGTTTAAATGCAACAAATAGTGGCAACTTTATTAGGTTTCAGGTGTGTTCGCCAACATTTCTATCAGTTCGAAGTTTTCTAATATTAAATATTTAGGTAATAGTTTTAATTTTCTTTTGTTTTAATTTCAGCTTCTTATTTACATTAAGACATTTCTGGCTTTAATATATTTATAGAAGTTAGAACTTTTGTTTCACATCATCACTTATTATTAATAATTATTAATAATTCTGAGGGGGAATAGTCCATATCTTTAAGTGGACTACTTCTATAATTTAAAAAGGGTACTTCAATATTGTCATCGTCTATTGCTTTTTTTACATGACTTTGGAGATTGCCACTGCTTTTTCATCCGTTAGATTGGGGAAAATAAGGGCTTCTAAAAATAAGGTTAAAGTTCCATTCCTCTGTAAAAAAACAATTTTGTGACTGTTAAATGGTACATTGTCAGAAACTACAACATCGGGAGGTCCAAATCTTGCAAATACAGGATTAATTTGATTGATGACTAACTCAATGCTTTTATTTTTTATTTGTAATAACTCTAACCAGTTAGAGTATGCATCAAATAATACAACATAACTAAACCATTTGCAAGTAAATATGTCAATTCCTAAACCTTCCCATGCTCTATTTGGTAAGGGGTATGGCATTAAGGATTCTTTTGAATTTATACTAGCATACTTTTCACAGGTTCTATAAGATTTTATATAAGACTCTATATCATTGCTAATCTCTGGCCAATAAAATATGTTCTTGTTCTTGCTTTTGCTTTTTTGATACTTAAATGGAGTAATTTGAGCATTTCTTTTCTCAATGAAAAGGGAACAATTAATGTATTATCAAGAAACTATAAATTATTTGATAGACTTACCTAGTTGGTCTTTTAGTTTTTAACACAATCAGAAATATTGTGTTTTTTGTCTGTATTTTGCCATGTATTTTTTATATATTCAGTGATTAATTAATTTCAAATTTGAATCTGTTTCTTGAATAAATTTTATTTTTTTATACTCTGACATTGGTAACTTATTTGATAGAGAGAGTGAATTGCATAATCAATCTTCTGATTAGATTTTAATCGAAGCTTGTTAAGAAAAGCACGCGATAATGTGTCTTATATATACATATATTTACTTGGTCTGTATGTTACTGTTAGGTTATATCTTAATAATTTTAACTGCATTTTTTGAAATCTTGGTGAGATGGTTTGAATGTCCTTTTTAAATATTAACTCTAATGGTTTATGGTCGCTGTGTATTTTCACATCTAACCAATAAATAAAAAAATTAAATTTTTGAGCAGCACATAGGCCTCTGTTTTTATTTATGCATACTTTTCTTTGCGTTTGAGAGATCCAAATACAATGTGACCTTCTTCTAAAGAACAGGCACCTAGGCAATCTTTATATATATCTCGTTTATTTAGCAAAGCTAATAGTACATTACAAATAAATAAAATTACAAAAAAAATATTTATCTATATCTAAAATATAAAATATAACACTAAAATATCACAGATGCTGGCTCGTTAACATATAATCTCTTAGTTTATATTTAAAGGTATTAAATGAGGCGACATTTCGGAGTTCTAAGGGTATCTCATTAAAAGCTTGAAGTCCCTTAAAAAATATTGAATTTTGGGACTGTTTACGTGCAACTTGTGGAATATGAAAATTAGATCTATTTCTTGTGTTATAGTTATGATTGTCAAAGTTGTAATTGATTTTATCAAGTAAATAAGAGGGGACCAGTCCATGTTTAATTTTATAAATGAATATTAAAGTCTTTGGAACTAATAGTTTCAATTTCAAATGGGTTTTTAGGATAAAAAATGCTAATACTGGAGATTTAATAAGTAAATATTTTAAATTATCCCAGACTATTTGATATTCATTAGACCAGTGCCACTCCATATAATATAATTAACATTTATAACATTAAGGCTAATATTATTTTTAAATAAATATATTGTCTGATTTTTACAAGTTAATTTTCTGTTATAAGTAAAAATAGATATAATACTTTTCAAGAAAACATTTTTTGAATGAATTAGCTTAAATAAAGTGATTATTTTTTGCTATAGGGGTAAATATACAGTATTGTGTTTTTGTCTCATGTAACTTTGTCCCTACAAAAAAAAACATAGATTTTGCCTCAGTTCTTAAAATGCATGTGTAAAATCTAATGTTATAAATGATTTCTAAAGGGCCATATATTTCTATGGGTTTTTAAAATTTTATTAATGCCAGGGTATAGACATTGATCAGGGGAGTGACAATAAAGATAGGATAGGGGACAAAATGACAGAGAAGTGACATCTTTTATTATTTTTTAATCAATTACGAGCATATATGTGGAACTTAATAAAAAGCATATAATTTTTACAGATTTAAACTTTATTCAAAACAGTCTGTATCAAAAATATAACTACAAAAACTTAAAATCTATATCAGAGATCTGTGATGTAAGAATGTATTACTGGGTATTAATACAAGTCATACAAATAAATACTAATATGCAACTTGAACACAAATGGAAACAACCAGAAATCAAATTAGTTACTAATAGCTAAACATATGAGGTATTTAAATAAAAATGCCTAAAATTTAAATAAAAATAAAACAAAGATATTTCAATCTATTTTTTGGGATATTCTTTAAAATATTATAATACTAATAAATGCTGCTTTATTGCTCATAAACGTTAACAGATTCTTGAAATTTATAAAAAAACTTTATCACCTTGTAATATTAGACTAGGCTCAGGTAGTTTGACACTTATTCTATCTTTTTTTTTTTAATAATAAATAAACTTTATTCACCAATTTTCAAAAAAAAAAAAAAAATTACAATATGAAGAGCATAACGATTATTGGTGAAAAGGTGCAAGATCAGTATGAAACTGTTCTTCCTCTTGAACCTATGAATAATAATATTAAAAAAAAAATTTTAATAACAATAATATCGTAATAAAAAAAGAGAAGGTAAAAAAAATTCCAAAGTCAGTATTTGTATATAAGAAGAAAGAAACGCATTACAATACAAATATAAAAGTGGACAAATACAAAAAAAACAATCCCAGTTAATATAAGGTTACTATTACAATAAAATAAAGTCTTATGCTATGTTGGAACATTGCTTTGAAAATAAGTGTTCTTTAACGTGTTTACTAAAATTAGGTAGTGCCATATGTTTAAGTGTCGATGGTAATTCATTATATAATTTCACAAGAAAGTAAGAGAACGAATTCTGAAATTTTGCTATATGATGTAGGGGAATTTCAATATTATATTTATGTCGGAGGTTTACATTATGTGCATCAACTCTGAATAATAATTTTTCGGATAGATATACTGGTTCTTCATTAATTAAAATATTATGCAAGAGACAGAGGCCATGAAGTTTCAGTGGATTGTTCATATTTAATCATTTTAGTAAACGAAGTGTATGTGATATTCGATCGAATTTTCGAATACTAAAAATTAATTTTAGGCACGAGTTCTGCAGTTTTTGAACTCTGAATTGGTCGCGTTGAGTTAGACATGGCCCATACACATAATCACAATCACATGACTTAAGACAAGACTATCACATAATTGAGTTTTTATATCCCTACTTAAAATTTCCTTGTTTGCGTAAAGGATTCTCAGTTTTGCGTAAGCCATTTGTAAGATGTGGGACACGTGATTGGTAAAACTCAGATTATTATCCATGATTAAACCCAAATTCCTAAACTTCTCCGAAATAGCAATTTGGTTACCGCCAATTAAAATATTAATATCCTCTATATTTAAAGAACCAAATAGCATAACGGAAGATTTTGAGGAATTTATCATTAAATCATGTTTGCTTGAAAAGCTAACTAGTGAATCCAGATCTTGGTTAATTTTCCTTTCAGCTTGCGCTATTTTATTAGAATCGAAGAAATGGTATAACTGTGTATCATCCGCGTATAAGTGTACATTTAAAATTTTTAATATTGATGTAAGATGACTCGTATAAATTGTATAAAGTAATGGTCCAAGGATTGACCCTTGAGCAACACCCCTCTTCACCACTCCCAATTCAGATGTTATATATTAATACTACTCTTTGGCATCTGCCATCTAGGTAAGATTGAAAAAAATTGATAGCAGGACGTCCGAGACCGATAAAATGAAGTATAGATAGAAGTAGTTTATGATTTATTGTATCAAAAGCCTTACTATAGTCTAGGAGAATTAGAACACCTGATTTCTTCTTATCTAAATTTCTAAAAATGTCATCTGATATGTTAAGAAGTGCTGTGCCGCAACTATATCCTGAATCCTGATTGTATCATAGGAAGAAGGTTGTAGGTTTACAGGTGAATTCGTAATTGTGATTGAATTATTCTTTCTAGAATCTTGGAAATTGTAGGAAGAATCGTTATGGGCCTTTTATCATTTAGAATGGACGGAGATTTACACTTTGGTATTGGAAGAACCTGACCTACTTTCCATTTTTGAGGATATATAGAATTAAACAGAAATTTACAATGTGGGTAATGTAGGGAACGAGGGGCAAATCACTCTTTGTAAAAATGTACATGTATTGCCGAATTCATATGATTTCCGCAATCATATGGCGATTTCTTGATGACTGCGGCGATTTCTGGATGACTGCGGCGATTTCTGGATGACTGCGGCGATTTCTGGATGACTGCGGCGATTTTTGGATGACTGCGGTGATTTCCACATGACTTCCGACAGATTTCCCGTAACTGCGGTGATTTATGTATTGACTGCAACGATTTCCCTACTGATTATGGCAATTTCCCTATTGATTGCGGCGATTTACGTATGGATTGACAGTATTATTTTAAAATTGCACGCATTCCGAAGGATTTCTACGATATAAGGCTGTTTTTTTATCCACCGGTGACTCCACCATTCCACCAAACGCGTTCATAAATTCTCTGATGGATTTTAGATTTGTTTGATCTCGCGTTCATTTATTACCGCTGTGTACATCGGAATTGCATATCTGTCCACCGAGGTTTTGAAGTGGTGGGCAAATATCGATGGATTGTTAAAAATGACAGCTTAACCAGAGTGAGTGTTTTGTGAGATTAACACTTGTGTTTTGTGAGATTAACCTCAAAAATTAAAATAAATTTCTTTAAAATTAGAAAAATTGATGATTTAATAGAGGTAAATTTAGAACACGAAAACAAAACCATAAGGGCTCTTTTAACTGCTACTGAAATTGAAGAAGTGTCTAACGGTAGGTACCTACTATTTAAGCCGTGTACAATAAGAATTTTATATATTTTGTAAATACTTGTTTCAGATGCTACCAAACTAATACAATATTTTAAAAAACTCGAATACCAGCAACAATTATTAAAAAAAAAGTTAGAAACTAGAAACCAAAACCCTAGTAGTAGTACATCTAGTATTATTAAGATTGATTTAGGGTTAGGATCAGGGTCCCCAGAGCAGAACCGGAATGATGAGAGTGAGTCCAGTGAACCAGTACCAATGCAAGAAAATACCAAAAAAGATGTACGGTTTAAATGGACAGACGATTCAATAAAACTATTGCTGGACTACCGTTTAGGACAGGAGGACAAATTTAATATGCCTACCTGTAAAAAAACAAAACTGTGGCAGAAAATATCTATTCTAATGAAAACAGTCGGAGGCTACAATTTAACAGGGGACGAATGTTATAATAAATATAGGAATTTATTACAAACCTATAGATTTAATAATGACAAAAGGCACAAGATGACTGGAGAATCAAAAATTACTTGGGAATACTTTAACATATTCGATGAGGTTCTTGGTACAAAGCAGTCAAGTGCTCCCAAAGAATTATTACTGTCTTCATCATTAGAAAAAGTAGAAAAAGAAAATAAAGCTGAAAAGCCAAAACCAAATGAAGAAAGAAAGGTGCAAAAAGTATTAAAAGAAAATAAAATGTGTTTAAATGAATACTTATTCTATAAAACACAAAGAATGGAAACTATTTGGGAAGAAAAAAAAGGGCTGAAGGAACAAGAAATAAACGCGATGAACAATCTAGCAGATGCAATTCGGGCATCTAGTTCTAAAAAAAGACGCCATAGTTCTGATTCTGATTGAATCTAGTCAAAAATTAGATATTATGTTAGTTAATGTTGCTTATTTATATATTTTTTTAATATGTATAACTTTTAATTCCAATTTAATTGGATAGAGCGAGAGAGAGTAGACTAAGAATGTACTTTTGTTTTTGTACTTGTTAGATTTGAGGCTAGAAATATGCCATTATGATTTTTGTTGTTTGTTTTTCTATTTGTTCAAAGATTTAATAAAGCATTTGTGAATTTACTTGTTTCATTTATTTCTCTTGTTATATTTTTCATTTCAATACTAACAAAGTTTACAGGACACATAATATTAACTCAATGTTGGTTTAAAAAATCGTCATTGTAGTACCTACCTGCAAAGAATAACAAAAAAAACGGAGATTGTAAAAGTGTTTATTTAAAACATTTTAAGGGAATGAATTCATTATATCCACACGTTTTTGTCTGGCCCTGGCCATCTCAGTACCATCGTAAGCTTGATTAAGGTCATCTAGATTTTCATCGAATTCTGGTGGATTATAATCGACTGGTATATTATTTTTTAATATAAAATTATGGAGTACAGTTGCAGCTATAACAATAAATTTGAAGTATTCATAATTGCCTAAGTCTAAATATTTCAACCTTCTGAAAACTTCTTTGAGCCTGCCAAATGCATTTTCAATGACAACCCTAGAGCTGCTTAGTATTCGGTTAAATTTTTTTTGACGCCTGGTCAAATGCCCATTATCTTTAAATGGTACCATTAAATATGTCTTTAACGGATATGCTGAATCCCCTAATAAATGATACCTTTCTGGTATAATTCCTTCTGTATCCATTTTATTGTGTATAGGAGAATTTGTAAACACACGGGAATCATGTGCTGAACCTGGCCATCCACAATACACATCTATAAATTCAAGCTTGCTGTTGCAGATGCCTTGCATAATCATGGATGTATACCCTTTTCTATTATAAAAAGAATTATCTTGTCTGTTTCCTTTTATAGAAATGTGAGTCCCATCAATACATCCAATTACATTTGGAAATGCATTTTCCCTCAAATTATTAAAATTATGCACACATGTTTCTATGTCCTCTACTGTTGTTGGCCAAACAATATACCTTTCTCTGAGTTTACATATTTTTTTACATATTTTAATAAAAACTTGGTGACAATGTCCCTTGCTCAATCCAAACCGATCTGCGACTCCCCTAAAAGATTCTTGGTTGGCAAGTACCCACAACGTAATCAATATAGAATCTAAAGGTCTTAGTGGTGGTCTCCCAGGAAGTGTTATCCTTCTTTCAAAATTTAGTTCTTGACAGATTTCCTAAAAAGATAGATGGGTAATTTAATTACAAAAAAATCTTACACCTATAAAATTTACCTCAACAGCGGTTTTATTCAATCTAAAATGCGACCTAAAGTCTATGTCATCATAATTTAATACAATGTTTTGCACATAATTTATAATTTTCAGTCTTTCTCTTTTAGCTGTCAAAATAAATAATTCTTCATCCGAACTATCCGATGAGCTACTCCATCTACTTCTCGTTGCAATAAGTGCGCTAACATTTTTAATTAAATCGTCGCCCATTTTTCTATAAAACACAAAACTTACACAGCAAAATCGACTTAAATTGAATAAATAATAACACAATAATAATAAAAAACGCTCTGTCAAAAATGACAAATGACACGAAAAAAATCCGTTTTTTTATTAACTATTAATCGTTCCATCGGTAAACAATCTATGACGTAATTGACAGGCATCAATGATGAATTTCAGTTTAAAAAAAAAACTCGCCTATATTGTATGGCTTACCAGTTGGTTTCCAGTAAAAAATCATTAGCTAGGTGTTTCATCAGAAAAACTAAATTTTGTATAACATGTATGTGTGCTAAATACAATGCATTGATTTAAAACTAAGTGTGTGGCAAATTTATCAATAAATCAACTTTTTGTACGTTTTTTATTCATTCGAAAGATTAGTTTTAATTGATGTGATTCAAGAAATATAAACTTTTATGTAGGTACTTACATGCCTCCATTATTAGATATCTTTAATATGCCTAAATGAACAAATAGGTACAGGTAAATAAATCAAGTAAATAAATATTGGAGGTTTTTTATTTAAAAATTTTATAAAAGTGTTTTTTTAGACGTTTACAAATTTTATCAATATTTAATTTATCATTTGTGTTTAGTTTAAATGGACCAGATCCAATTAGATTGATGGGTCCGTAAAAAATGAATTTATTTTTAACAATTTGAATGTCGTCTTTTTTAGGCCATAAATATTCTTCTAGTTCAGATTTAAAAAATTTAATTTGACTAGTGGTTCCATCAATTATTTGAATAATCCGACCTATGTACCACGACTCATAAAGTACTGCGTAATATTGTTCGTTCCTAATTAAAATGTCATTGATATTTTTGTTATTTACTACTGCTGAGTATGTACCTTTTACGCGAAGTAGTCTGTCAGTTGACAAGCGCCCCTCTTTAGTTGAAAATAACCAACAAAGAGTTGATTTTTTTTACCTTCATTTTTTTGTTGTTCACAATTATGTTTAAAAATGAGGTATCAGAATCACTGTTTGTGTCGTAATGTCGAAAATCCTTTATATTAAGATCTTCCAATCCATCAAAAATGCTCATTTCATTATCTATATCATTAACATCTTCGTTTATTTCGTTACTTTCAAGTTGAGTTTCGTGGATATTCTCAGTCGCCAGACTATCAATGTGAGTGATCGAAACTTCTTCTAGGGCTGCTTTTTCTAGATTTTTTGGGAGAATCATTTGTAATTCCTTGGCGTCATTTATAACATCTTGTCTGGCCTTATCGATGGAATTTCTTAAAACGACAACCGATGGAATGGTAATGTCGAACTCACATCTATTTAGATCTTTTCTCCCAAATCTGCTATTTTTTTCCCTGGGAAAAACAAACTTTTCTGCAAGAAAAAATAAGGTAATTATTTCAATTAAATTAAACACAAATCAAATTTTTAATATTATTATGTCAGCTATATACTGAACTGAAGCTTTATTTGAAGTTGAAGAAACTATAATTAATATTTAGTTAATGTAATAAGAATTTTTATTAATAAAAAATCATTTTACCTGAGTCACTAACTATGTCATTAAGAGCTTGAATTCGATGTTTTCTTCGCAATATGTCTAGCATATCAAAATTAACCTTCGTTTCATAAGTAGATGTCATAGATCTTGTCTGCCTAAAAAATCTCTCACATGGTTGGCTACTGTATAGCCATGACAAAAGAGTATCATGGTTTTCATTTTGTCTGCACTTTTCAATTAAAATTAGTAGTGCGTGTGCATTCAATTCTATGCATACATAAGTATTAGATGTCAGCCAATTTTTGCTTAAATTGTATGTATTGTGTTCTTTTATCCAGCTTCTCCAAAGACGCAAAAAGAACGTTGCATACCACAAAAGATACACTCTACGTTCAATAGAAATAGATTTATCCAGAAAAGAATCCAGAATATATCTGGTTATGATTAAAATTCGTTGAGTAGCTTTAAACTCTTCATTTTCTAATAAGTCAGTTACACAAGGTGCAGATAATGAATCAATTGATTCGAAATTCATTTTGTGGGTTCCTAAAAATTAAAACTTAAAATTTTGTACCATTATCACTGTAGTATATTTACCATCTAAGTAACTTAAGCATAAAAAGTGTTTATCTTTGGAAACAGATTTAATGATTGTTTCTAAGTGACACTTATTTACAGTATAATTTCCCATTGTCAGCTGAACCTTAGTATTTAACAGTCTTGTTTTTAATTTAGTAGCAATGTGAATAGTATCTTGAATTACTACAGGTTCGTTTACGTTAAAATTTGTCTAAAAAAAATATTTAAACTTTTATTAGGTTCACTTCTAAACATTTATAAAAATTATTTTAAAAAATTTATCAATTTAAGAAGTATATTAACTTGGAAATATGGAAGATATGGGCAATCTTCATTCGGTGTTGATGGTAAGTTAGCAAAACATTTCATAGCTTTGAGACAACGCGTATCTCCATCAGATGAAAAACCTTCGATTGTGATACCATTTATTTTTGCCTGCTCTTCCAGATATTTCCATCTTTTTAGTACATGCTCAGCTTGAAAACGATTGTCCGAACCAAATATTGTAATGCAAAAGGCTGGAGAACCGTCCACCAACGGTTGTGCCATGAATGTGTAGGCATTACGGCAAGATCATTTTTGTCCAATATGTTTTTGATATCCAGAACAGAATTTACTTCGTATTGATTAGGAAGGGGAAATGCACTATTTTGTGAAAGGACTGGTACACAGCCAACAATCTGATTAGTTGGACTATAGTAACGAACTCTTTTTATTATTGCTGTTTGGTCTTCGGACACAAAAATGCGTAGCGGATATTTTCGTTTTACCAAGAATTCATGTAGCTTTCCAAATTGTACATCGCCTTCTAAACATTTTTCAAATCCTGATAAAGTTCTAGTCAAAGTTGAAACAGAAGGAAGTCCATTAAATAGATTTGCATAAATAGTGTCATAAGCTAGACGCCCTGCTGTCAAGAATATGTACAAACAAAACTTCTTAAATTCAACAGAATAACGATTTCCTGCCTTTTCTTTTGTAGTTTTGGAAACATTTTTAGAAGCATATTCTTTCAACATTTCAATGAATGTAGAGGGGTCATCACTGTTGAATAATGGACTCTGATTATTTTCACAAACTATATCAATTGCCGATTTAAAATGATTCTTTAAAACTGGGTTATTGCAAACTTGGGTTTTGATGTTTTCACACAATTCATAATAATCAGTAAGCTTAAGTTGCAAATTGTCAAAATTCAAAAACCTGCTCTTATGAATTCTCTGACTTCTAGAATAGGTAACACGAGGAGTTTCAACATGACTGGCAGAATTATCACTTGGTAAAGCCTCCTCCATAATTCTGCTTGGACAAAAAACCGTCCCATCCGAATCCATTACTAAATTCAAATTATCGTCGGCATGTAATAACGGTAACGTAGGATCTAAAATGAAATTTTCACAGGAATTTTTGTCCTGTGATTCTTCTGAAATATTCGTCGGCATGTCTATAATTTCAATTATTGGAACTTGATCTGATACGGTATGTAATGGTTCCTGTTGTTGTCGAAAATACGATAAAATACTGCAATTTTCAGTGCGTTTCTTTGATGAAGTTGAAGGTATTTGATTTTTGAAATGAGTTTTGTAATGCCTGTTTACATTAGAAAGAACATATTTTTGCTTTCCTTTTTCAACTGATGAATGTGCTTTTGAAATAAAATTACATTTTGGACACTTAACAAAAGCACAACCATTTTTAATTTCCACAGACAAAACATCCAATTCGGATAAACTCTCATTTCTCTGTTCACTGTCACTTAAAGTATTCAAAAATTTTTTTTGATAATTCTTTACCACTGTTTTTACATGTTCGATTACACGGTTTTCATCTTCTGTCACATCCTCTGTATTATTCGGTAAACTATTTTCAGTGTTCACTTTCTGTGACGTTGATTCCTTTAAAACTTTACCCTGGAGCTGAGTTCTTTTCTTCTTATTTTCGGATGTAGCAAGAGTATCACTAGTTTTTCTTTTCCTATTTTCCAGATGGGACTGACAATGTTGTGACAAAATATTTATCAATTTTTTGTGCCCTTCTAATATTTTAAAACCTCCTATGTTTTTCACAAATATACCATAAAATTTTAGTTTTTCTTCCTTCTCCAATAGTGGAGGAAGATCATTACGCGCAAACTCTTCCAATTTACTCATATCAGCATCAGTTATCAAAGCTAAAGAATAGCAGTTGTCATACCCATTTAGAATAAGAAGTTCTGTTAAGTAATTAGGAAATGGCAGATCTTGCAGTCCAACTTCGGCAAAAATTTTGGAAATTTAATTTCCTGTACCATTTTCCTTTGAAGGGGATTCCCGAAGAGATTCCATTATCTTAGCGTTATGCTAGGTTTCCAATACTATAATAAATAGGTATTGTTAAAACCATTGACGTTCAACTAAAGCCTGGTTTTTATACATGCAAATTTCGACGAAACAAGATAACAAATATCCCGAAAATTTGATCTTTTCTTGCCAAATATTGCTTTATTAGCTTGTTATGTTTATGATTTTTGCAAAAATAGAAATACAATTAGTAGCTAGATGATGCTCAGCTTTGAAAAAAAGAAAATGGATAATGCACGCGATAGAAAAATGTGATTGTATGAATAAACGAAATTCGTGTGGCCATCTTATTTTTTTGAAATTCTGCTGTCACGTTTAGGAAAACCAGGCATAAAACCCATTTTGTATAGACATCTGAAAATTTGAGGCCTTTTGTAATATATGCTTTTTAATCCGCGACTTTGCAAATATTATGTTTCTCTGTTATTGCACTCTTTCTCGCTTCTTTCTTTTGAATGTTACTCGAGCAGAATAAACTATTGAATACGTTTTAAAATTCTTCATTTTTTTTTAATAATTTTATTATACAAGGTGGTCTAAAATTGTTTTCCATAAATTGTACACAACAATATGAGAACTTTATCCTCTATACATTTTCCTTATATTTGGAAAACAAAAAGCAAAGACAATTAGCTACACCGGAGAGCTTCTTCCTAGTCTATGGAGTCTACTAGAAAATACCCAACTAGGCAAAGTACACTAACCAATGATCTAAGGACATTTTCAATAGATCTGAAAAGGACAAGGTAGGGTAGGGGTGGCTACGGCCTACAGTCCCAACCAGAGATAACAGAGATATAAGAAGTCATTCATAAAATATAATATTCATGATGCCAAGAACAGTTCGCACTCAAAACATTCTATTTCTAGACGCGGGGCGAGGCGACGAAAGGTGAGAAGTAAAAGAAGGGATACAGTGAAGAATTTTACATAGTTTTATCAATGAATAACTGCCCGAGCTTTTACTACTTAACGTAACTTTTCTTGCCGGTGTAAGCCCTGTTGCCACTTCCATTCTAACATCACTAGGTTTTGGAATTTGTTGAAAATTATTACATCTAATTTAATGAAATTACATCTAATTTGGTTAAAAATGCCTATTTTTTGTTCTAATGCTCAATTAAGTCTTTGTAGGAAGTATTTTTTTATAATTATTTGAAAAAAATCATTTACATTAGCCCTTATGATCGAAAAAAATTTAAATGTCTTAGTTTCAACCGTCTACAAATTTGTATAAAAAATCTTTTAGAAATATACCTCTCATTTGACGAAAAACGAAGGCCTAAATGAAAAAAAACTATTCTTTATAAAAGTTTCGCCTATGTATTGTCAAGGTAAAAGTACTTTCCTCATATTTGTTGCTTTTAAATTAACAAAAATATAGCAATAAACCATTAGTGATGTCATGGTTTTACTAGAAAGCAAACATTAAAGGCAGAGCCTATCGACTCTTTATGCATCTATCTCAGTATTGAAATGTATGCAATCAGTTTGACCCCTCTTATATTATTTTATACAGGGATTATTGATTTATCCACCATGTTTAATAGGGTGTACTAATAATTACTTCAAGATTTCTTTTTTATTTTTAATGTAAAATGAAAATAAGAAAATATAAACTATTTATTAAAGGTATTTATTGAAGTATCAATTATAAACAGTAAGGCTATTGCTTTGCAAAATACAATAAATCCCCAATATAAATAAATTATAATAATAATAATTGGAAGGAAGTATATAAAGCATAAATTAATAATATTAAAATTTATAATTACAAGACTTTCAAACTAATCAGAATCAGATTCACCACACGAATCAACATTTTCCAAAACATTAGCGGCTGTGGTCAAACTATTTATGCAGTTTTTCTGTGTCATACAGGTGCAGGAACCGATACAGTAAATATTTTTTTTCCTGCATTTGCAAATTTTGCTTCCACAGTCTAGAACAGAATATTATTGTTAGAATATTGTTTAGTATGTTTTTTGCATTTGCATGATGTAAGTTCTGTTATGTCTGGTGGCAGGTCGGGCAGAGTCTTAAAAGTGGGTATCAGACTTCCATCTTGATCTACTTTCCATCCATACTCTTCAACATTAGGAAGCTGCATCTGGGTTTAAAGAGGTTAGCCAAATATTTAGCTGGTAAAAACATCTTAAACAATGTAGTCTTAGGGCGTCTTCAGTCGGTGGTAATTTAGCGATGGTTTTTGAAGAGGTCAATAATCCCCTCAAAATGTTAATGAAAGTAACATTGGCAGTTTTGAATACATTTTTAGGAAAATTCTTTCAAGATTAGAGAATATGTTTTCAGAGTACTGATCAGTGCCAAATCCATCCAAAAAGTAATGATTTTCAAGGTAGGTTTTCCAACAGGTTTTGTTCCCAATGCCGGACAATTAAATGGCTGTATCACAACCGGTCAGAATGAAAAGCAGGCATATTTTTTAGAAGGTTTTCATCCAAATTTAAATAATGTACTGCTAGAAATCGCCTTGAGTCTCCTCGCCTTGTTCTGAACCATATATCTTTAGTCAAAAAAACTCGTCTTTTGATGGTTCAAAATTCTTTCCATATTTATTGATTTTCGCGAATCCACCACTAGTTAGAAATTGAATATGCTTTTGCTGAATGGAGTTTTGAAGAAGTTGTTCTGGCAGAAAATGTGTTAAACGTCTTTTGTTAAATATCTAATGAATAAACAAGTTCTATTGTTGCGGAAGTGGAATATTGGGTCGGTCAATTTCTATATCAATATATTTCTGAAATCCTCTCTTTTGACGTGTTGTATTTTTGATAGAATGTCCTTTATAATGATCAAATACCACATCTATCATTTGAGCATTAAATTTATTTCTAAAAATAATGTTTACAAATATATGAGCATATTCTTTAAATGATATGCAACTTTTGGACTTTCCTATTTTGATATAATTTTTGTCTCTGCTACTTGCAGCAACAAATCCGTAATTAAAATTTTAAACGAAAACTTATAACTTACCCAAATATATTTAGCTGCAACAGGATGAATGTAGATATAATAAAGATGCAAAAATGTCTATATTTTTTCCCAATTTATTAGGTAATTTAATATATAACACATACACTTATTAATTCTTTAGTAAAAACAGATAATAATATGACACATTGCCCTATGGAACATAACAAGTTTTATAATAAAAAAAATGAAAAATCCTACCATATCAATAATGTGATACATCAGCCCGCACGTAGAGAGAAACAGAGCTATGCTACGTTTGAAGGTGAAGAGAAAGATACACTGAGAGTCGATAAATTTGACGGTAAGAATTAATTACAGCATAAACCTATGACATCTCTCATCGTTTATTATTATATCTTTGTTAAGGACGGGGTATCCCTGTGTATTAAAAGTGTATGTGTAGACCAAAAGTTAAATCGACAGTTTTCCGAATATGTAGTGTTTAAAAATCTAATTTTTGGCCAAATTAAAAATAAAGGTCTAACTTAGGTCACCTTACTATTGAAAATTAATAAATTTATTATTTTCAATAAAAACCAATCGTGTAAAATAACCCCCTTTTATTTCATCTCAAAGGTGCCGTGTAGATTTATTTTAACCTCGATGTCAAACAAATAATAAAAAAAAAATGTAATACGACCTAAGTTCAACCTTTACTTGGAATTTGGTACACTCAGAATATTTAAATATTGTATATTTTTCAAAACGTGTAGATTTGAAATTTATAAGTCACTTTCTTTGAAGAAACATGTCAAAACGAATTTGGACCAAAAATGACGTCTAATTTAACTCTAAATAAACCCCGAAAAATCAATAATTACTTCATGTAATGTAATAAAGATGGTGCTCCGATCGATAATATTTTGACTAGTATTTGATTATTTCCGTTTATATTATGTGTGTTTACGGGGGATAAACGAGATGATAATACTGCCTCTGATACTGTTTATATGATACAATTGGAAACGACCTTTTTTCATCGGCACTCTTTTTTCGCCGGTGACCTTTTGACACGCGCCTATTTGTTATGTTATGATTATCGGTTATTTATCAACTAAAAGTATAGGAAATTAGTACATTGTGAATGATATCATTTTAATGCTATTTTTGAAACTAGTTCAAAAGTTGCATTTAACGATACTCAATGTTTCATTTTACCGTCAGTTTTAGTTTGACATATCCGTCATTTTAAGTTTACAAAGCTCAGTTTCTATTCGAAAGTAAGAGAAACAGTCAAAATAAAATGCGAAAAACACTTTTTATCAATTTCGTTTATGTCAACTGAAAGCGACAATTGCTGAAGACGTAACAAATAAATTAGGTCAAGAAATAAAAAAATCTATACTATAAGTAACATACCATATATTATACCTGTTAAAATAAATCAAAAATAAAAGAACGTATCGTTGACGTATATACTTTTCCATCTGTGATTAGTGATTACCAATTGCAAATTACGTATGAACATGCTTATGCGCAAAAAACCATTATTTCAAGTACTTGTATGATTAAAGTCCATTAAATTATTATTTTTATAAATTTGCTAATCTTTGCACTTTAATTTTCATTATATGGGGTATCCAGACATTTTAATCCTCGTCCTCTTCTATTTAAAATTATCTCAGGTGCCATATATTCCGAGTAAAATTTTTCTAATTTTTCAACCATATTTAAAAAAAAAAAAAATGGGTTGAAAATTAATTTTTTCAACAAATAGTGGATTTTCATCTCCAGTATATACTACAAAGTAGCACAATTTTCTTGGAGCTATACCTAGCTGTCCTTGAATCTAAAAGTATATAAAATCATTA